TTGTTTTCACTTTGTTGTGGCGCCTAAACAATTTTATTATTTTTTTGAACTTTTTAACGAGTCTTGTATTCTGTGAAGTACACATCTGTATATTTTCGGGGCATTTGGCTGTGCCAAACAAAAATGAAAAATAGCCAGAGATGGCGGTGCCAAAGACGTGCTCGTTCACTCACTAAGTTTAATTCTCTTTTCATTTTTCAGAAAGTTTCCTTATATTAATCTTTTATTATTAGTTTTATTTTCTGCATTTTATTTTTATTTCAAATTTGGTAAGGAATTTGGATGTAATGCTCAGGCAAATGTTGTTTACTCTGTTTTTCTTCATGACATATTTTGTTTTCATATTTTTTTGAATTAGTTTTTCTTTTCTTTCCTTTTCATTCGCTAGCGTTCGGCCCAAACGGCGAAACGCATCCCCAAGGGGTCCCGTATGTTCGTGCGTCGGGTGGTCGACCCATCCCCAAGGGGTCTTCACAGACCTGCCCAGTAAACCTTAGACAGAGAGGGAGAAGAGGACAACAACGAGGGGCTGTGACAAACTGTTTCGCATCGGAGTTTCACCAACTATATACATATGTATATATATAACAAACTCCCTGATGGGAGAAGATCGAGGATGTGGGCATCTAGAAAGCCAGTCAGCTGCGGCGACAAAAATGTCAATACATGAAAAACACAATGAACTTGAATGAAATGTTTACCTGTGCAATTAGTTTGACGACTTCACCTCGAAGCTTTTACCAGACAACTGCAATCGGGTTTCATGAGCAGAAAGAGTCGCGCATGATCCGATCATTCTGACGTAACGATGTCGACCTTACTGAAGCGTATCCGCCTAGGGCTGCGAATGGCATGCATGGATCAGGATCCCCTCACCAATCCTAAATGGTAATTTTGTGTGCAAGCGGACTATTGCCGTCATTGGCACGACCAGGCATGTGAGTCTGGGAAGAAGTGATACTCGGTCAGGTGCGCGATCTCCCATCAGTTGTCCTTTTGTGTCTTTTCGCCATTTCGTATAAAAAGGATGCAGCCTTGAGACGTAGAGAGAACATAGTGAAACTGATTGGCCCCTGGTAATGTAGGAGTTGTCAACTTTGTTAATGTAGTTCCATCTGGATTCAAACTCACGTCTGTATTTTACAATTCTTCAACAGTTTGTGGGTGCACCAACTGAGCTAGGCCCATCTGTAATTTGGTACTTTTAGGTGTTTGTGACTGAGATATTAGGTTACTGCTCTTGAATTCTAATGAAAGATAGTAGTGCCCCTCGTCGAAGAAGAAGAAAAAAAAAAAAAAAGAGACCGCAGCTGTCCTCAATAAGCCATGGGGAACAAGTACGTCATGGGTAAGTGTCACTATCATCTTCTGTCATGTCATGTCACTATCAGTGTTCCCATCTCCTTGCCCCGCTCTTGCTGAAGTAGTCTCTTGTGGCCCTATCATGTGGCTATCCGGGTCTGAGCTATATCCTGTTTCCACTACTGGGGGTGGTGTTCAAAATGCTGTGAGTTCGCTTCCATTCCTGGCTGCTAGATTCGCATGTGGCTGCTAAGTAGGTCTTCAAGAAGCCATGCATTCTGCTTGCCGCTTTCGTGACACCTGATCTTTCTAAGCTTGTAGGGGTCACCCTCTCCCCTCGGCGAAATGCCGACCCTGAAGGGGGTCATGTGAAGCTTTTCTCTTTTGTGGCCTGAGGTTGTCTGAGCTGCGAGGGCGATGAAAGTTACAGAACACAAATCACAACTACGAAGCATAAGCAAGCCACACACACACACACACACACACACACACAGAGAGAGAGAGAGAGAGAGAGAGAGAGAGAGAGAGAGAGAGAGAGAGAGAGAGAGAGAGAGAG